AAGGCCCGGTATTTTGTAAAACGCCCCTTTTCATAACAACGCCCCATTCGCGCGTCAATTGTCAAAAAAGAACCAATGACAGCAACCCAAATATTAACAAACAAACTCGCATTAAAATGTTGCGGGGTTTTCTCTGTTTTAATATTCAAAATAGAAACAATGTGTAAATGCCTGTGTTAAAACTCCAAAAAAGCAAGCAACGCAGTCAGTAATTGCCAAATTTACAAGTGCTCATTTTCAACTAAAATCGGAACAGGCAAATTAAGACGAATTTCAACAGAAAACCAGTCTCAAACTTCAAATCGTGAGGGAAGTCGTGCGACCACATCAGCATTTATAATGTGTGCTTCGCTGTCGCCATTGTTATAAATAAATTGTCTCACTTATCAGATCGTGTGTGCAATTCTTGTTGGCGGCGGAAAGTACGAAATTTATTTCAGTTATTTCATTTGGTGAGAACTCTACAAAATAAGAGAGCGTTCAGAGTCCAGATTGTTTCGTTTCAAACGGCAATTTAATACCGTCCTCTGTTTTGCTCTCTCAGCGAAGCCTTGTAAATCGCAAAGTATTTTGAATAGGCTTACATGCAACTGCATCTCAACATCAACCAAAAGATAATTTTCTTGAGGAACATATAACGTATCAAGTCTGTTTGAAATTAATGAAACTCAAGTAAAGGTTACTATAGTTTACCCCAGTCATATTAAATGTTGCTATTCCAACACCTCACGACAAGCAATCCCCATTGGCATAATGGCAAAAACATCTCTTCCTTCAAGTAAACAATAAACAGTCTGTTCTTGTTCCATTTGTAATCGAAAAAAGTGATCAATTTTCGAATTTTAAGCTTATCGAGAGCCTTTGTCTATGCCTTTGTGATGAATCACTGACCTAATTATAGAATCCAACAGCAAACAGCCAATCAGAATGCCGTGTTCGTGGGCGAACGCGGAAAGTACAAAATACCGGGCCTTGTTTGCAGGCCCACTATCAGTTCCCTTGGGCCTGCACGCAGGCTATATAATTAGTCACTGACCAGTACAGACTGGCCCATACAGTCCAATTGCATTTTGCCATTGAAAAATCATATCGATACATTGCCATTTTAATTTAAGAAAGAAAAATTATAGTGTTAACTGTATCAAATGGGTCATTTGTCCTGGATGGATAAGAGATGTGCTATCTCACCTTAACACAACATGTGGCAATTATTCTACTTTAAAATGAGAATCTGTTGCAATAAGAACTTATAATTAGGTTTAGTGTATCTTTTGACATGGTTGAGAAATAGAATTATGTTTGGGGATTTTATAATGTGAACATTATATCATAATCAATATTTTCACTCTTAAATATTAATACTCAGGACTCTCCCATTGATAGGTAAAATTATCTCTGTCTGCATTATACCGTAAACCTCTGACTATAAGCCCCCCGACTATAAGCCCCCCCCCCTCCGACTATAAGCCCCCGAGTATAAGCTCCCCGGAATATAAGCCCACCACATATACTAACGCTCAATTCATTTCAAATATAAGTCCCCCCCCCGAACATAAGCCCACCCAAATATAAGC